GCGCTGCTGAAAGCTCAGAACTTCGAAGGTGTCCTCATCGAATGCCCAAAATTGCGACCCAAGTTTGAGAAGCCCTCTGGTTAGGCCGTCAACTCAAGTATCGACTGAAATCCCGGGCAATGCTAGCGAGGTCCGTATTCAAGAAGGCCTGTGCCAAACGACGAGTGAACCGGAGTGGATAAGGTTCAGCCAGCTTTGTGTACCAACAACCATTGGGGGCATGGCCAGTGAGAGGGACATGAGGCTTCCCACTCAAAAGGCAGCAGGCCCGCTTGGTGCCGATGCAGCGATAAGGTTGAAGCAAATCCAAATTGATGTGTATGCCCATGATTGTTGTTGGCTTTTTCCATGGGGTGCCAAACATGCAAAAATCAACATGTGCTATGCAAGCAGCACGTCTACGCATGAGACGCTGGACACTGCTAGTGATCCATAGTCGCGATCTCCGGGGGTTTTCCAGCGTCATTGCAATCCCATAGTGGAGTGCCATCAACAAAACACGGCAAGAGAAAAAGAGCAGCACATTGCCAAGCTTGACCTTGAGCGCATCGTGAGGTTTTAGGCCTGACAGGCCCATGGGATACTTGTCGCTCCGGAGGGGTGGCGGTCCCCCGGGTTGATCCCTGGCCCTCGAGAAGGAGTTGCACGGTGTCCCCAAATGACCAGCACGAACTTGGCCAGTCTGAAGCCAATGCAGGATCTTCTGTTGATTCAACCGGCTGGTCAAATCATATTCCGGGCCATAGGAAATGTCCCAAAATAAGACAGGCCACCCACAAACACGATGTATGCTCTTCCCAAGGCGACCGCAACCACTAAAGATCTCCAAAAACACTGCAAAATGCAAAACCACTCTATTGCTCAATGCAGGCTGCGGAAACTTTTGGCCATGTCGCGGAAAGCCTCGGTGCAGCGCTTCTGAACTGCCTTTGGGAGGGCGGCGAAAAGTTGCTGCAACCGGCCGCCCTTTTCGTAGTTCTTGACCGACTTGACTGTCTGCCAACGGCCCCTGGCTTGGATTCCCACCATGTCGCGGTGCTTGCCAGCCGCCTCGAAACTCGCCCCCCCGTGCCTCAAACGGTAAAGGTGAGGAGGGCCGAGGCTGGTGAGCCGCTGTGCCTTCCATTGCTGACCCATGAAGTCGTTGATCTCCTCCAGAGTGACACTGAAAGCCGGGTCGTCCTTTGGTCGGCTTGCCAGGTTCAGGATCTTGAACAATGTCGGGCCCACAAACTGTTGATGTGGGAGGTCCAATGTCAACATCTCGTCCCATTGCTTTGTCTTTGAAGGAATCCCCGCTTCGGAGGGATGTAGCAGCACGGCATAGTGGGGGTAGCGCCGGCCCCTGGTCTTCACTGGGGGCACTATGTCTTGCACCCTCAGTGTTGTGATCTCGGATGGCCTCAGGTAGAGTAGGAACATCAGTTGGAGGGCAATGGCCAGCTCCACCTTCCCGCTCTTTAAGGCCACTTGACTGAGCAAACAAACCACCTCGTATGGAACTGGCAAGCGACTCCGAGCCGGACACAATCGCCTCCAGCCCTTCATCGCCTGCTGTGACTTCGGCAGCTGGTGTAGGCCCTTTGTGCCTGGGACCTTGAACATCACTGCAGCCGTGGCATAGTTTGCTTGGCTCAGATCTTCTCCTTTGTGGTAAAGCATCTCCAGATAGTCGGCAAGGTGGTTGTCTATCGTTGGGAGACTCGCAGCCTCGCTCACCAGACAGCCTGTCCACTCGACAAAATCTTTCCAATGCTTGTTGTACTGCTGCAAAGTCCGGGGCCCCACTGCATTGTTCCGGAGAGTGTGCTGTGGATCCGCCTGCTTTGCTCTTGCTCTTCTTGCCGCCCTCTCTTTCCTTTTTGCCCCGCCACTTGCGGTGCTCATCTCTATGTCCCATGTCAACGGGGCCATGGGTGGCATCGGTCCCGTGGGTGTGGAGACCCCACTGCTCTTCGGTTTTGAGCAGCGGCTTTTCTTTGAGGGTCTGTCCCATGTGGCCTGTACTCCCAGTTGGCGGTGTATCATCTGCCTGAAGGAGCCTCGGTGTGGAAGGTGTCCATCCACTCCGGCTGGGACGGTCAGCTGGATTCCACTCTGACGGGATCCAACGAGACCTGAAACAGAGTCCTGAGCCCAAACACAACGCCGCTGTCTGCTGAAGAACTCTTCTCAATCGGAACCCTTGGGATCGTCCCTTGTCAAAGGAAACTGCTGCTGTCATAGAGTCTGTCAAAATCACGAACCTGGTTTGCTGGTTGCCAACAGTCCTCAATGAATGCCTAACAGCATATTGTGTGGCCCTAGCTTCAAAAACCGGCATGCTCTCCTCACGCAACCATCGGTGCCTACCAACCAGTTTCCATGATCTGTCAACAAACTCAAAACCAACAGCCTGAAACTTCGACGCCAACTCCGGCACACCAAATACGGCCCAAGTCTCCGCCTGCTCTCTTCCTTCCGCTGTAGCGCCAACTGCCTGAGCCGCCAGTGCATGACGCCTTGGATTCTTGGCCAGCGGGTCTTTGAACCTCCACCTCTCTGTGTACTTCCCCAGCATCGAAGCTTCGTCACGGGTGATGTTTGAAGTGGTGACTCCCATTCCCCAGTCCGAGGCGTCAACGGAGTACAAGGTGGTGGACCATGGTGCACGCAGGTTGACAAAAATCAGGGGTGAGATCCCGTCCCATGTGCTCAGCTCTTTCCTCACACTTTTCCACAAAGGCGCAACTCTGGTGTAGTTCTTCCGGGTGAAAGTGTAGGTCTCACCCAGCACTGATAGAGCCTCCCTGCGGCACAGGGAGATGAAGGTGATGTGCCCGAGCAGCCTCTCTAACTGTTGGCCACTTGCAGCATTTCTCCTCAAGATCTCACGGACAGCCAGCCTAGCCCTCCATAGTCTTTTGGGGGTCGGGCCGAAGAGTCCAGCCCGATCGACTGCCCAGCCCAGCACCTGACATTCCCCTTCATTCACCTCTATCTCGTGCACTGTGAGCCCCCGGCCCCGAAGGGCCTCAACTGCCCGCCAGAAACGCTCCTCAACAATTGCTTTGTTTGTACCAAAAACATGGAGATTGTCAACATATTGAATGTGCCAAAAATCACCGGAGGGAACACTGCTGCCATCTCTGAGCCGCTCTGAGTTCGTCAGCCCTGCTTCTTCGCAGATCCTCTCATTGATCCGCTGGCACCACACCATGGCATGCGTCCATCCCATAGGAATGACAGACACCACAGGGTATATCCAGTCACCCGGACGAAGTGGGCTGCCCTCCAACGTTGTCAGGCCCATGCTCTCTGCCGTGACTCGCCTCAGACCAAAAAACGGCCTCAACGCTTCCGGCATTGCCATAGTGTAGAAAGCATTTTGCAGGTCTGCTGAACAAACATAAAGGGGTGCCTCCTCGGACAACTCCAACCGACCAATGCTATCACCTGTGGCCAGGTGGATTCCCTCCGGCTCCTCAAACCAACAGTTGGCCCTGCGGCAATCCAGTATCAGGCGGAGTTTTCCGCCTTTCTTCTTGACAAAGAAAATGCCAACTCTCTCCACTGGGGCTTCACGCTGAAATGAAACCAGGTTCAAACGATGCAATGTCTGTATAAACGATCTGTACTTGACGGGGTCTCTGAGTTGTGGATCCTCATAACATTTCACGACACCACTCGCCTCCAGCCTTCTATGAGCCTCTGCAGCCCCAAGCGTCTGAGTGCGAGTGAAATCCTCCACCTCTTGTTGCCCGTCCTTGCCCCACAACGTAGCGAGTGGCACTGGCTGTTTGTCTCCCGCCGGCAATGAAACAAGTTCGGGATCGAAGGACCCGAGTGGCGATGCCGTAGGCAATTCGGCATACCCCTCTTGAACCCGAAGCTCCTCAAGGGCCTCTGGGCCGGAGAGGTCAGGGGGAGCCCCAACCCTCCTGTTTGCTTGCTCAATGAATTCAAGAAAACGTGTCTGAGCCCGGCTAGGGGCCTGCTGTGGAAGATGAACTCCGCCTCGCAAAGGCCGGCCGTACATCGCATTGAGCGATTGGACCGTGTGCTCAACCTCCTCCTCAAAATGCCTCCTCCGGCCGATCCTCTGACGGCTCTTCCGCGAGAAAAGTCCCAAGGGTGGCAATGTATGCTGTACATGAGGTAAAGGAAAAATATCTCTGTCTGTCTTCCGGGTGTGGTCAAGTCCTGATTGTTCAACAGGCCAGCTAGGACCTTCACCAGCCTGCACCTTGTAGTTCAAGGGTTCTCCGACTGCTTGCCGCCCTTGCGCCTCGCAGCCTCCCTTTCCTCACGAGCCTTCCTCAAATTCTTGGCCAACGATGCCTCCCGTTCTGTTTCTTCTTTGACGTGGGTCAACAACTCTGGACAAATCATCAGGGTGGAGAATTGGCGAGTCACCCCGCCAAACGTCGTTTGCTCTTCGAGGGAGAGCCTCCCGCCCACAGATTTGGCCTCCAGTTCACGTGCTTTCTCGGAGTAGGAGAACTCGATGGTTTGTAGCCGCCTGAATTGTACCTCAATGCTCAACAAATTGAAGGCGTCCAACTGGTCGACCAACAAGGCCTGTCTGACGGCCATGGAAACTTGGAAGTGCTCTTGAATGCCCCAACTGCTAGCATCCGCCTTGGTGACCGTCCTCAGTCTTTCGTGGTGGCCCTCGAAGCCTAAGTTTTCGACTGCCAGGTAGGCCACACACCAACGAGCAGTCCTCGGTCCCGTGAGGGACCATTTCACCTTGGACTCCTTGCAGAGCTGGGCCACGTCTTGAAGGCTTCTCTCTGGAGTTCCCATTGGGTTCAACTGTATGGGAAGGATTCGGTGGTCGTTCAACGATGGCCTCTGACGGAAAGCAAAGTAGTCCTCCCCCGCCACACACTCAACAAAAATGCGCAGCCCTCCAGGGAGGTCTTGAACATGCTTGCTGCCCTTGACCAATGGTTGTGTCACCGCTGCAACCTCTTGCCCATAACAATAGCCCCCCCAAACACTCAGCTGCCAACCACTTCAACTCACCAGATGGAAATCCAGCCTCCGGATCAAAGGCGGTGACAGCCGGTGCTGCGGCGGCTGCTGCGGCCCCAGCTGCTGGAGGGGCTGCCGGTGCTGCTCCTCGTTGGAGGTCGATGAGGCGTCTTGCTTCGTCCCTGAAACCTGCCATGTCATTGATGGTGAAGACTGGTAAGGCATATACCTCAGCAGCTGTCACCCCCCCAGGCAAGATCCCTGGACCGGGACGGATCATCATGCTCCTGATGTCGGAGTTCAACACTGTCAAATCCTCCAGATAGACATCACGGTCTGGCGTCACTATTGCATAGGTGTCGTTCTGGTAGTGCTCCAGGACATAGCGCTCGTGGAGCAAACGGCCTCCACCAACATCATACTCGATCAGGACCTGGCGATTTGCCAAAGCCATGCCTCCTCAGGCGCAACTCCGCAAGTTGCCTCTGTGCCAGCTGGTGTTTCGAATCGGGTGTACCAGGTTCCTCAATAGGTCCTGTAAATCGGCGGGCCCGCCCAATGGAAACTCCAATGAGCAGAAGTGCCAACAACAAAAAGCCCAATGCGGAAATCCCAAATCCAACCAACCAACCACTGGCCCCAACCTTGAGCCCTGCCGGTACCCTCAAGCTGTCCTCCGGAAACTCTGGCAAGCTCGAGGGGTTTCCGACCGGCGAGGGGGTTGGAGGATCCGATGAAGTCGATACTGGCAGCAACTCTGAATGATGGTGCTCAACAGTGGCCTGAAGTTCCCAGACTTGATTGCGGAGCTGCCGTTGTTCTGCAATGCTCCAACCCAAAAGTCCAAGACCAACAAAATGAACGACCAGCAAGTATGGCGAAACGCCGCTGCCGAGACCTACACCCATTCCCCTTGTTGCTTGAGCGTGGTGTCATGCGGCCATTCGTAACCCATCAACTCATCAAACCTGTCAAGACAAATATAACTAGAAAGGTCAAACAGGTCAAAGGTTTTTTGCTTGAAAGGTATATATCGGCACGCGTTGTTTTCCAAGAAACGTAGCATCTTGGCGACGTTGCCGGCACCACCGCCGCT